TTTATAGTTTGTTTTTATTCTGGCATTGAATGTTTGCCGTATTTATGTTGTGCTCCGTCCTGAGTTGCCTTCGGGGTGAGAAGGGCGGAATACAAATGTACTAATGAATAAATAAATAAATAAATAAATAAATAAATAAATGATAAGACTTAGTTATTCCTAGAGAAGTGTTATCTTTATTTATATTGTTTTACTTTCTTGTTTCCATAACCCCAGCAAAGGCGAGAGACTGGCTGTATGAAGTTTGAAGAGCAAAGGTTTATGAGGAAGAGTTGACATCTGTCTGAATACACCATAGGTTTAGTTCCACCTCTAAAGCTGAGCAAATACGATCCGAACAGCAAGAGGGGCAAGGAAAAATACCACCCAGTGTACATATTACATTGAACACCTTGAAGGATGAGAAGAAAGAAAGAAGACAGATGCAACCAATAAAACAAAGGAAACTCCAAAGGAGGTCCTCCTGGAAGTGATCTCCACTCCTCAGGAAGTCCTATGCCAGTCCTGACAAATCACATGCTGACTCATTGGACTAAATGAATGTGCTTCAGTGTGAATATGTTAGCAAAAAAATAAACATCTGTTGACTGAACCAGAGATTTGGAGCAGAGGTATGCACATTACATATGTTTACCTTAACCTGCCTCATTTGTCTGTTTTGATTGCAATGTAAACTTGAAAGCACTGCAGAAATTAGGGAGGATTAGCAAAGGGGGCACTGTTGAATGAAGGAAGAGGGGATGGTGAAATATTCTAGCCATTTGGAAAGCAACAGATGCGGTCAACGGAAAACCAGGCTGGAACTTGTAGAGACAAGAGCACAGTGGGCCGCTCCCTTCACTTGATTGCTGGAATAGATACAAGATGCGATGGGGCACAGGTATGTATATTTATTCACATCTGAACAGTACACAGTTACAGTTGTCCACGCAGCCGCTACAGAATCATCTACCGCCATACAAGTGCATCAGTCTCCCTTGAACCCCCACCCACCGCTGCCGTCCAGCAATGTCCCCCCTCTGACTCCAAGTCATCCATCCATGCAAACTGAAACACAAGGGGAAGAAGTCTTTGGGCAATCACAGTGAAAACCTACTGACCGATCCAGTGCTTCTGTTGCAGAAATATTTATTGGCAGTAAGAATGTTCTAATAAATTTGCATTTGTATTACAGGCAAACCATGGGACAGGGTAATACCATTATTGATTAAAAAAAGGTTCCCCATGTGTCACAATAAACAAATGAAACATATAAAAGGCAACACAGATTTTATTTTAATAGATAATAACTTTGGTTATTTTATTTTTCTCTTTCCAAAGAATTCCTTCCTTCCCTCCCTCCCTCCCTCCTTCCTTCCTTGTTTCCTTCCTCCCTTGTTTTCTTCCTAGATTCAGAAACTAGTCAAAATGTCATATGAGAAACCATTTCCAAATGTTTATTCTTTCTTTCATGCAAATGCCATATTTAAAATAAGCATGGCTCCGATATAGTACATTTCTGTCCTTATTAAATTGAATTACTGAATGGAACAATCCCGTTTTACAGTCATGTTTTGATCTGTGTTCTCCACGCTCCCATCTCTTCTCGTCTCTCATTGCTAGATGTTTGCCAGCTCAAGAATTGACCATCTTTGTACTTCTTAGATGTAGATAAAGAACTTTCGGATTTGAAATTCTGAAGCAGGGATGTTACTATTTGAACATTTCATTCCCGCATGCAAATAATGAATAATTTCCCTCTTTTTCTACCTGTTGCAAGAAAGTCCTTAAAAAGTGAAGCTCTTTGACACTTCTTCTGTGCAAATAAAATAAAAATAAAAATCCAGCATTGCAAAGTACTGCAAATGTGCAATTATATATAATCATCTGACCCAACTCCTGCATATAATCTCCTAAACTCCATTTTACAGCAAAAGGCAGTTGGAAAGATCACCCTGGAACACTTCTACCAACAGCAGAATGAATCTTCACCACTCAGTGTGGTTGCTGGCTGTTCAGATAAATTTAGGAGGCATTTTTATTATGGTAATAATGCCTAAATCGTAAGCATGAACAGTTATGAAAAAGTAAATCTAGCTAGCATATTTGTAATTATTCAAAAAGGATGCCAGCCAGCATAATCTGTGTAACAAATCAATTTTTCTTTGCCATCCAACCGCTCCCAGAAATCCATACACATGAAACCTTTATGTGGGCTTCCTTACAAAGAATAGTCCCAAACTGCAAAGAGTCTTGTTGCAGGGAATTCTCATTGCAGTTTTCTTAGAATTCAGAAATCTCCTTTCCTCTTGTTGATAGAACATTTCACACCATTTTTCCATCCCTGCTCTTAAGGTACAATATGCACAACCATATACCTCCACTGGCTAACATGTCTGTTATTTTAACATTCATGTAAACATGTAAAAAAAAGAAATGTGGGTTTGTTTGTTTTCACCATAAATGTATTTAGAGGCCTCTCGTCATAAGCTGTGGCCCTGACCTGTATGTTGCTTAGCATAAATCTGACATTGGGAGAACTTCCATTCTCTGGTTGGCTTTTCTTGCATGTTCTCCCAAAATATGGTATGACAACATTATGGTTTGTGTTTCCTTGCACCAGCATCTTTCAATGATGTCGGACAAAAGCAAGGGGGATAACAGCATGGTGGCATCCGCACAAGTGACTAGTAATTCAGTGGCACAACACTCTTGAGCAGGGGTCCTCAAACATTTTAAACAGAGGGCCAGGTCACAGTCCCTCAAACTGTTGAAGGGCCAGATTATAATTTGAAAAAAAATGAATGAATTCCTATGCACACTGCACATATCTTATTTGTAGTGCAAAAGACACTTAAAACAATACAATAATTATAATGAAGAACAATTTTAACAGATATAAACTTATTAGTATTTCAATGGGAAGTGTGGGCCTACTTTTGGTTGATGAGATATGATTGTTGTTGTTGTTGTGTGCTTTCAAGTTGTTTCAGACTTAGGTTGACCCTGAGCAAGGGCCGGATAAATGACCTTGGAGGGCCACATCCGGCCCCCGGGCCTTAGTTTGGGGACCCCTGCTCTTGAGGATAGATGGGAGAAACGTCTGGAGTTGCTTATAGTCCTGAAATAATTTACACTTCAGTTTATTATAGGGACTCATTAATCTCTGCCTATGTCTCTGTTATACAGTTATACATCTGTATATACAATGTTAGTCATCCACTATGACAAACTATGAAAAAGTGATGGAATACAGAAGTTTGATTACACAGTGAAATGACGGTTCTATTTTACACTGGAGATGTTTAGCAACAATCTGAGCACTTGGTTAGTTTAATTCGAATACACTCTATTCCATCAGATGACCTCTCAGATTCATCTTCATTACAGTATCATCCTTAGGACTGATAGTGGTGGTGGATATCTTTTGTAAGAAAACAAAACCAAAGTGCTGAGGATGTTGCTGCTGTTAGGTAGTTAAATGTGATCTAATCCTGATGATGATGAACTCCCTGATCTTCCAGAGGTAGTAAACTCAGAGTATTACAACAGCACCTGTTTTGTACTCATTTCCTACAACAGGTATTCATCAGAGGGACTATTTGTGTCTGTTCTCCCTTATAGTAGGATTGGTGCCAAATTCGGCTACAATCAGAATAGATGTCGAATCTGTCATTCTTCTGCCTGTGGTGGAAGAAATCCCTAAATGAAATCAAGGCTTACTGGAATCACTTGGCTAATCCAGAGTTCCTAGGTGTGTGTGCACATATATAATAAACTTTGGCTTCTTCTTATGGTCAATGAGATCATTCACAATATGGCATGCCAGGGGTTCTGCAGATGTGCACTGAGGCCTAGTGTGGTTCCCAGACATTGCTTAAGCCCATATGCACACCTGCCAAGGTTGCCAGGGTGTCATGAAATCACTGGTGTACTCATGCATGAGGTCTGTTGGAGACCTATCACACGCAAAGGTTCACCCAGGACTTGCAGCTGTCTTGGCTTCTCTTGCATTCTAGATTATGAGCCAAATGCTCCCTTTCTTCTATTTCTACAGAATCTTCCTCCACCTTGCGGGGTTTAATATCCAAGATGATAATGAGATTATGGTGCTAGTATTTCACAACCATAATCAAAGTCTCTCCAATGTACCACAACTGTTAAATTATCCATAGAAGGGATCACTCATTTTCAGAATTTGTTAATATGTTAGAATTAGTTATTATAACTTTCAGATTGGGAAGAACATGACATTACTTCTTGAGGTTTGGTACTTTTTGTTATTTTCATTGTGAGTTTTTCTTGTTGCTGATATGGAGGAGGAATCCTAAGGATGCTTGCCACAGATGCAGGCGAAACGTCAGGAGAGAATGCTTCCAGAACATGGCCATACAGCCCCAAAAACCTACAACAATCCTAAGAATGATATGAGAGTGACATAAAATGTTGAAAATCCCTGTCATATTACCTCCAAAAAACCTTTTGAAGTAACGAGAGGCCAATATTAAATAAACTCATTATGTTGCGTTTGAAATGTTATTTTTTTATTCCCTTGTTGCTCTAAAAGTAACTAGCTCTCTTATATTATTAGCTCTGATACTACTAAAAATTACTAAACTTTCCTAATTATGGTCAAAACTGGTCATACAGATTAAGTTCAAGAAGGTTGTAGGTTTTTTCGGGCTATATGGCCATGTTCTAGAGGCATTTTCTCCTGACGTTTCGCCTGCATCTATGGCAAGCATCCTCAGAGGTTGTGAAGTCAGACCTCACAACCTCTGAGGATGCTTGCCATAGATGCAGGCGAAACGCCAGGAGAGAATGCCTCTAGAACATGGCCATATAGCCTAAAAAAACCTACAACAACCCATTGATTCCAGCCATGAAAGCCTTCGACAATACATTGAAGTTCAAGAGGTTTGTATTTTGTGCTGAATGCAGAAATCAAGCCACCAACACAAGAAAACACTCCTCACTGTGCTGGAATGATCAACAAGAATTGCATCATGCTTCCATCAATCTATCTATTTAGATTTAGTAGAGGTGGAAAGGAAAAGGCTGGTTTGCTGCATTGTACCTAAAGAGGAAAGACATGCTTAAGCATCCTTCATGCTCAAAGACAGCTAAAACATTCTGCTCCATCGTTTGACTTATATTACCTAATCACGTTATGTTCCTTCATAAGAAAAATAAATTGTGTGCAGTGTAGGGATACAAGAGTAATGACTGTACCACGAAAGACCTTCTGATACTAAAGATCCTTAGCTCAGTAAATAGCATGTAAAGGATCTCAGATTCAGTTCCTTTCTTCTCTGGTGGGAAGCTTTCAACCTTCTAAATGTTTTGGATTATAATTCTCATAGTACCTTTCCGCTGAATTTTCTGAATAGGGCCAACAGGAGCTCTAAGCCAAAACACTTGGAGGGCCATGAGTTCTGCATACCTGCTCTACAGCTCTACGCAAAATATGGTCTTGAGTAGCCAGGTTAACAAAAACAGTACTTTCTTTCCTTCACTATGTTGTGATAATCCCTTTGGAACTGTCATTCAATTTTGTATAAAATCAACTTCCAAGGCAAATATTGAACATAACTGTTAAGGCAAAACATTCCAGTGATTTTTTTTAAAGGAAACAAAATGGATGAAATCTTCTTACTGACATACATGCACATCTTCTGTTTAACCATGGTGCTGCAGTGTTCCATTCATCATTGTATACCCTATAACAACAGCTGCCAAGCCCTATGGATCTACTGCTACAATATTTGCTGCACTTTTTAAAAAACATCCCCACACTTTCTTTCTTGTGTACTGCAGCAAGATGCTGTAGACCCAAGTGAATAGCTGCAGCATTTGCCCCGTGGAGTTGGGAGTTCTCATTGAGTGGTTACACTTATATGCAACACATAAAATCTTTGTCAATGAGTCTAGATCAGAGCACTCACATTTCTTAGACAGCTGACCCATACCCTTCATCATACACAACTGATCTCTTTGGATGGGAAGGGAAGTTAAAATCCTCTTCTGTCTAGAGTCCAGAAAAGTTACCTTACTGGATAACAATCCTAAAATCCTTCAGCTAACATTAGCAATGGTAATTGGAAGACTCTGGGACAGGCATCTTCAAACTGAGGCCCTCCAGCTGTTTGGGCCTCCAACTCCCAGAAGCCCCAATGAGCTTGTCCAATTGTCAGGAATTCTGGGAGTTGAAGGCCCAAACAGCTGGAGTGCCACACTTTGAGGGTGCCTGCTCTGGGAAAGGTGATCCAGAAAAAGTAGCTGTTTTCAAGCTTTTCATTATGTTCTGGCATTCCTTTAAATTTCCACAAGCCTCTACAATTTAATGCATGTGCATATCAGGAAATTCTTCCCTTTACTTAGTTTTCAGAACTAATTCAGAAGAACAACAGACATAGTAAAATAATACCAACTAGTGGCCCAACTTGATGAAAAATTCAAAACAATAAGTTCAACAGGTTTATATAACTGTTCAGAACCAGAATAAAACAAAGCAAAAATAGATCTTCCTTGTAATACGTATCAGGGTTGGATGGATGTGAGATGATGGATCAATTCCAGTTTACTTTTCTTGGCCCGAGGATTTCTAATTATTCCTCCTAGCTTATGGACACCCTTCCCCTATGTTTTTCTCTCCGCTCATTTTAATATCGATGAAAATGGAAAATGCTAGCAAACCCTAGAAGTGGTACATCACAAGATGCAAGAATAAATTCCAATTCAGCTCAAAGAATTTGTTCATACAGTCTGTGTAGAAGCAAGAGATCTCATATCTTTACCATAAGCCTTAAGGCCACCCAGGGGTTATTTCGCTCTACCCTTTTAATACAATAGAGGTAATGGCTTGATGACCCACAGTGTTTGGTTCATAACTCTTGAGAAAGATTACAGAGTAAAGCTTCCAAAGTCTCACCAACACAACACCAACACTAACATTGCAGCTGGTTTTTGGCTTGATTTATAGCATCACAGTGATTATTAATAATTCACACCCATTAACAAATGCCATCTGCACTGTTGGTTTGTTGGTTTAGACCAGTTCCACTCCTCAGTATGGCTTATAACCCTTTTGTATCAGTGCAGTCCAGTTTATGATTCTGCTAGCTTTGATCAAATCCAGAAAGAAAGCTACAGTGCGAGGATCACTACGGCTTACTTCAACTACAGGAATGTATCAGAGCAAGAAAAGAAAGAAGGCAGGGATTAAGATGCCACCACTTCAATGCACAGACGGAGTTGTGGATGATTTTGCTTTTAGTTCCACTCATAAACGTCAAGGTTTGATCTTCCCAGTGTCACTTTGACACCCAGAAATTTATGTCCTTCCCATCTTCTGTCTCCCCTCTTCCTCCCACCCAGAGATCTCCCACAAATGTCTTTCAAACTCTCCACAGTGTCCTCCTCATGCCATATATCCTCTTCCTCCAAGCCCAATATTTCATTTTCTTTGCTTTCCTCAAGTCCATCACCAGCCATACAACATATTCAGACAGGCCTCCATTTGTTCCTCTGTTTAGGGGACAATGGCACCCAGAAGGGAAGAGCCAGTGATGGAAGAACAAGAGGTGGAAGTATGGAAACAGAATTCACATAGAAGAGAAAGGAGAGGCACAAAGATGAATTTTGCAAACAGAGGCACCTGAAAGAGAGAGGCCAAACTATATTGGCATTGACTGGACGTGGTTCTTCACTCTTGATTTTCAGCAGAACTAAGAAAATGTGGTCAGTCCAAGAAAGTTATACCATAACAAAACAAATATCTGTTTTGGTTATCTTCCTCTGCTTCTTTTCAGTATATAACTGTTTTGCCACTGGCAAGAAATACTGGGTGAAAATACAGAGGTGAAGAGAAATAAAACCAAGTCAGTGCATATAGGACTGCTTCAGAGTCTCCCAAAATGGTAGCTTAGTTAGAACAAGCTCTGGTTTTTAAAACTTTCCTTCACATGCTTTCTCCCAGGAGGCACCATTGAGAGAAAAGCAAGGTGTGGGGGAGTAACAGAGGAGTTGCTCAGAGCACCTCTGCCCTTCTCCCAACTTCACACCGGTGAGCTAGCGGTGGATTCGCTGTAAAGGTTTTCCACAATGTCTCCCCTCTGGATTTTACGTAAGGCAGAATAAAGGGCGTCCATTGTGGCACTGTCCTTGCTGGACCAATCTGAGAGCAGGGCCCGGACAGGATATTCCTCCTGAGTGAAGGAGTCTATGAGGTCCTCCTTGTAGCCCAGCTCTCCGGCCAAGTGGCGCCAAGTCTCCTCCGTGGAACCATTCAGCAGCTTCTCAACTTCCTCTCTCTTGTTAGCAGGCAGATTTGTATAAAGGTTTCCATCTCCTTTAAGGCCTGGATTGGGGACAAAAGATAGGGTAGGGAAGAGGATGAGGTGGCTTTAAAGAGAAGACAACAGCAGCAGCAGCAGCAACAACAACAACAACAAAAGATCAGGGCTCTTGGAGGTCCCTCACTCATAGGGTCACTCTAAGTCAAAGATGCCTTATGGCAAATAACAACAGCTGAGATATGGGTATTTTCGGGTAACCAAGTCCAATTATGCCAGCCTTGGAGAAAAAGAAACCAAAATATTTGAATCAGAAATGTGTGAGAGAATTACTCATAGTTGGTGAGTGTTGGAGTAGCAGTCAGAAGTGACATATGCAAAATAAATATGCTCTGACCACTAAGAAAATATTCTTAGCATGCAAATATACCAAAACGAGAATAAAGCACACCTATTGAATGCCAAAAAGATGTTACAACAAAATGTTGAAGAACTGTCCTTCCTTATGTATTTTGTCTCCTAAAACAAGAACAATGCCTACAATCAAGATGAACTTTTGCAGAAGAAAGCCGGAAAAAAAGAAAGAACAATGTGAGATAATAGAAGAAGATACCAGATTGAAACCTAACTGACAACATCACTCCTCTCTTAGTTAAATAAGTGTAATGGAAATGAAGAATTAGATGTAATAACCATAACTATGTAAATTGCCTCCCCTCCGGGAAATATTAGATATCGGTAAAGACTTAATTTAATGACAATTACTCAAATATCCCCATCTTCCCTTTTTCTTTCTTACCCAACTTTTACACCTTTCCCCCTTGTATGAGTGTGAAAAAAGGAATTGTTGTGTGTGTGTGTGTGTGTGTGTGTGTGAATTGTGCCTATTTATAAGTATGTTTTATAGGTATGTATTATTTGCCAAAGAGTAACATAGCTGCAACACATTCAGTACCATATATGGATCCCTTCAAAGCACTGTATCAATCTGTATCTAACATCTTCAATTTATGCTAACGTGACTGTGAAATAGGCTTGTACAAAGGAGTGGCTCACGAAAAAAAGATTTTAGAGGACGTAATACACTTGTTTATACAAATATTGCACGGCTTTGTTTGAACACTTCTTGGGTATTTAAATAAAAGTGCCTCCCTACAACCATGCAAAAAATCTTTCTAACCACAACTACTATACATATAGATGACTAATGCCAGCACTGTCCTTCCTGAGGATTATGCAGAAATATATCCAGCTAGTCTGAGAGTTGAGTTGATTTCCAGATAAAGAAATAAAGAATGATTCACTTGTTTGGACTTTTGTTTTGAAAATAGCAGGATCTGTAGAACCTATCCTTTCAGTTCTAGAGACAAGATGTGCAGAATCTCTATCCTTATTGTGACTATTGGGATCTATGGGGGTTGGGGAGGACATTGTAAATATTGCCGTTGCATTTCTACTATGTTGTTTTGCTGTTTCCAGCTTGTAATTGCTACATCTGATACCTGATCCCAAATGTAGCCTCAAGCAATACTGTCCTGCAATGTGTTCCCTGGTTTGCAAGCCAAGAAATAATTCTCTACATATTGCACTGTGTGGAAAACAGTGGATGGGAAATGTTTGTCCCTCTGGAGGTTTGAGACTACAACTCCAATAATCCTCAGAAATCAGCCAAGCTAGATGCACTTCTAGAAGTTGAAATCTAGGATATATCAGTCATAGAAACATAGAGTTGGAAAAAAGCACAAGGGTGTTCCAGTCCAACCCCCTGCCATGCAGGAATACACAATCAAAGCATTTCCGACAGATGAGCATCCCACCTAGTTGAAAAATCTCCAGAGAAGGCAATTTCCCAACATTCAGAGGTAGCATGTTTCATTGTCAAACAGCTCCCACTGTTAGGAAGCCCTTCCTAATATTTAGGTAGCATCTCAAGCATCAGCTTGAATGATTATTTTCATGTTTTGGGAAGGATTGACATTGTAGAATTAATGAAGTTCCACAATACTTGGACTGCTGTGGCTCAATGCTATGGGATCTTTTTCTCTGTGTGTTTTGCCTGATATACTAGTTTGGCTTATTTGAAGCTACCGATTATAGGTAATGGCTTGTCTCTACTCATCAGACTTTGCTGGGATAGACTGTGTATAGGATTTGATAGGACTGATTTACAAAAATAGGCACCAGAGAAATGGAATCTATTGGGCTGATGGTTCTCCTCATAGCAAGCCAAAGAGTTTGTAGTATTTCTGTGGTATGCCTGAAGAAGTTATTTATTTTGACAATGACTCCCTGAATCCACACTTGCCAGGCTGGCAGGGGGATTCTGGGAATTATCAGATAAATAATTTTTCCAAGCTCCGCAGAAACCCTTTGTTCCTGAACCTATCTCCTCCATCTAGGTTTCCTCCTCAAACAGTGTGAACCCAGCCCACTTGCTTTGTAGTATTTCTTGCTTACCTTGCATTGATGCTGTCTGTGTCTGTGGCTGTTGATCATGGAGGCTCTGGCTGTCAACTGAGATGCCACTGTCGCTGTGAAGCTTCTCCCCTTCCGGTGAAGGTGTCTGGTTGACAGGACGGTTGTTGGCACCCTGCTTGTTCTGTTTGCAGCTGTTCCACCTAGAGGTTGGAAGCATTTCACAGCTGAATCTAAGAGATATCCCACTCCTATTTTCCTAGCTCAAGGTGTATATGCATCACAAACCATGATAGATTCTCTCTTCCACACCACAGCACTTTGAGCATAGCTGCCCTGGCAGACCTCATTGGAGGAACTGTTTCAGCAATTTATTTGTTTGTTTGTTTGTTTATTTATTTAAAACTTTTATATCCCGATCTTCTCTACCTCTGTAGAGGGACTCAGACCGGCTAACAGCAAAGATTCAATGCTAACAGTACAGTCTAAAACATCAAAACAATCTAACAACAAACATCAACAGTGAATTAAAATCTAAACACATGGCTGCAGCTTTCCTCTTCACCAGCAACTCAACAATTATCAAAGATCACTGGCTCAAATGGGCAGTGACATCTCCGGCCCATCTCTTGTTCAGATATCAGCCAGCATGCCAAGGCCTTAAATCAAGAAATAGTTTCCTAAGATCTACAGAGATACTTGCAGGAACACCTCAGCGAGAGTCCAAACGTGGCAGGCTAAAACCCGGAACCTCAACCCATGGCTGGTACCAGATGAGATATCTGTCTTCTGGGCAGACAGAAGACTGGGTGAGTTGGAAGGTGCTGAACAGACCATGCTCTGGTACCACAAGATGCAAAGCCAACCTTAAGAAATGGGCCCACATAGTGGAGTTCACAACATGCAAGTGTGGAGAGGAGAAAACCACAGCTCACTTACTACAATGCTGTCTGAGCCCTGCCACATGCACAATGGAGGACCTTCTTATAGCAACACCAGAGGCACTCAAAGTGGACAGCTACTGGTCAAAAGGCATTTAGTATAATGCCAAGTTTTTTAAACTTTGTGTTTTTTTAAATACAGTACAACTGTACCCTCAGTTTGCTTCTGATAAGATAAAAAACTGGCTCTAATTGCCTGCTGTTTCAAAGAGAGAGCTATGTGAGTAGGAAATTCTGTTTCTTCTTCTTTCTTCTTCTTGCTTTGGTTCCTTATGTACCGATGTGGTGAGAACGAGCAATGAAAACAGCACAGAGAAAGAAGTGTCTCCAGGACCCAAAGATTCATGGTGTGGTTGAAGCAATGGTACCCTTGCCTTGCCAGATGCCAGTTGAGGCAGATTGCTGACCCTCCCACATGTTCCCCACCCCTCCTTTATAACCTTCCACTTTGCAAAGAAGAATTGAGATCTGAAAGGGGGTTTTGGGTCTCAAAACAGAAAAGGTATTCCTTCTGATTTCAAACGATGATTATGTTGCTTTCTAGAAGCAGACCTTTTCTGGACAACAACACCTTAAATTTCCAATCAGCCTAGCACTAGATATGTTGGCTGAGATTTTTTAAGTGCTGTTGTTCAGAAAAGTCAATTTTCCAAGCTCTGTCTACAAGTTACCTTTGCTTTCTTGACCACCATGAAAATCCTTCCTGGAAGCAGAACATGGCAATGAAAACACAGTCTTTGCGACTATCTGGAATCCTCAACCTCTCATCCATCCTTTTATCTTAGGGATTCAAATAGCACTATTTACCTTTTGAAAGCAATGTATGCCACCAGTCCCACAATCACAGCTGCCAAAATTGAGCAGTACACAGGGATAAGATTGTCTGCTGTGCCACCTCGGATTACTGGCTGTGAGCTGCCCATGATTGTGGTTGCTGTGCCAGCCATGGTGCTCCCAGAAACATCCAGGATATCTGGAACACTTGTGACAGGAAATGGGCTTTCTGGATCTGCAAAAATAAAGAAGGAAAATAATGATTAATTGACATGGAAAGCTGGGAAAGTTTTTTTTCTTGAAATCCATAAGTTCTGGAGGAGGAGCAGGCAACACCATTGGAACTTACAGTGTAAAAGGTCACCTTTCCAGATTCTGGAAAAAGGTGAGGTTGCATTCAGACAGATGAAAGATTGCATTTCAAAATTAAAGCATCATCTGTGTCTTTCTTATATATGACTATTTGTTTGCATGGTGTTGATGGAACATATTAGTCATATTTAAAAGGCCAATCTTTTGCAAGTTCAAACATATATTAAAATGCATATACAAAGACAGAGCTTTCCAGTGCAAAAGTACTGTACATCTACAGTGTAATCCTATTGATCCAGTTTAATGAGACTTACTCTTAGAAAAGTGATTACTAATGCAACCTCATTCATTTTGAAATGATGTGCCTCATTTCTCCCATTTTTAAAACAAAGGCTAAGAAACCCCCTTGCCCTTTTCTAATAATCTGATTGGGATGGGTTCTTTGTTTATCAAATTCTCATTTTCTGGGTGGTGTGCAAGCCCCAACCATCGATAGTGATACTCTCCCCAATTTTGAAAAAGACCGGTAAGAATACCACTTTCTTGTTTTTTTTTCCTGGTAAATAGAGTATCTCCTTATATGTATATATCTAGTTTTAGTTTTTGTAGCCTACCTGGAAGTGTCCTAATCATTTGCATACCATTCTGAATGAATGACTAAAAATTCTTTGCAATATTTTCAAAACCCTCTTTTACTGTGCTTAAATAAGTCTAGAGGAATGCTATAATACTGGAGTTATGTAGAAAAAAAAGTCAGAACTTGTATTTTAAAGTATTTAAATCACAAAATAAGTTACAGTTCTTTTCTTTGTTGCCAGCTTTTGGCTGTTCAAATGTTGATGAACTATAACTGGAATTCACTTGGGGACCGATGCCTTTTAAGTGAACTTACACATCTGGGAAATAGAATTGAGCAGTTTTGCAGCATCCATATTTAGCTACTTTTATGTTGCTGTGTACGGAATCCAGCAAAGTGACCAATGACAATGGGATCAATGTGTATTGGAACATTGGCTTGAGTGTACCGCTGTTTATCACCACTTTTGATGCAAATGATGAGATTCTTACTGGCACAGAGATACACATTTTTACAATTCACTAATAAGAATTTCTTGGTGCTCCTATTATGCAGTTAGGTAAATTTACATAACATAGATCATGAAAGAGAATTCCTATCTGGATTTTCACCATGTTCTACCACTGATCGGGTTGTTGGAGACTAATCGGAATCCATCTTCAACTACTTCTGAAATGCTATATTCCCTATCATTGTTTTGGTTACCAAACTAAACTTTCATGAAATTCATGTTCTCAGCAAGGTACTTGCTGGGACCACAACTAAATTTAAAAAATCAGGAATTGTTTCAACAGTATCATGGAACAGAACATAATGAAGATATGCAAAAATACCAGGTCTGAAATCTGTGACTGCCTCACTGGTGTCGGAATCCATAGAGGATGTTGTTGGTGGAATTGTCCATCGTGGATGAAGAGCTGCCAAAAAGACAGGGGAGAACTAAGTATCATCATTACCAAAAGTCCTCGCTGCACTTTTCTTGAAGGTCCCAATTCTCCCCTATGCTGTCCCCGAAATGGACAGAATGGCACAAGAACCATGGTGCCATTTTCAAAGCCATCAATGTTTAATGTGTTTAGTCAGGGTACCTTCCAACATTTTGCAGATAAAAACCAGAACATGTGTGGCCATGCAACATTACACTGTGGTCAAAATCATGTATCCATGGGCAAAAATTTTAATGAAGAAGAATACACACATTTAGCATTTTAACAGGAACTCTAGGCCCGTTGAGGTGAAGCAGTGAATCCACTCTAAGTTGGATGGCTGCTTCTTCCAAAGCTGCTCCAAGTTGGATGGTAAGCTTTATTGATGCCAAACCTCTACCACAGAGTGAACAATACCAAAAGAGCTCTTATATAACCTGGAGTAGTTGCAGGAGGAATAGCTGAAAATTGGAAGTGGATTCACTAACATTTTGCAACAACAACCAGCTGCATTTATTTTCCATATTAATATCCCATCTTTCTCACCTCAGAGGGGACTCAAGGCAGCCTTAGAGCAGGCAGCAGAGATACACATTTTGATGCCATACACACATATCTCTATATAAATAAAAATGTAATGTTCACTTTTGGGATTAACATAACTCAAAAACCACTGGACAAATTGGCACCAAATTTGGACACGATACACCTACCAGGCCAAGAAGTGACCATCACTCATAAATATGCTGAAAAACACATCAGAAGAGACTTAAAAGGCAACCCCCCCCCCCAAAAAAAGCTGCATTACAATGCATGCGCAAAACCACCTATATATACATGAACACACATTTATACAAATATACACAAATATATACACAAATATATACACAAACAAAACACATACACACAGACTGGGCCACAGTCTGGGGATGGCTAGTATCAAATAAACAATCACAATTAAAACCAAATAATTAAAACATGAATTATTAAAACATCAATTAAAACATGCCACCTAAAACATGAGTCTGTTACTCTTTCTGGGCCAAATTACCTGTATGCTAAGAATTCTATGCTTGGTTTCCTAATCTCTCTCCCTCCCATCCATCTTTCTTTCGTTTTAGGCAAAATGCAGGCATGGGAATATATCAGTTATGTGTAGGTTGGAAAGGGTGGGGGTGGTGTTTTCCTAAATTCATAATTCAAATGTACTTTTGTGAGAACACGCCAATATTGTGTTTGGCTTTCTCCTACCATTTTCTTCAACCTCAATGAGAACCTATCATTCTTTTTCTCCACATTCTTCAGACAGCTGTGAATTTGTGGTTTTGCTTCAGAGAATAAACACTCAAGCTGCAACCCAGGTTCTTGCAGCTCATTTTAGTTAAGTAATATTATGAAAGTCATGGCAAATGTTTGCATTTGTCACCTTAAATCTTGTTTTGTTCTTTTCTGGAAAGCTGAACCAGTCTCTCCTTGATGCCACCATGCAAACACACATATTTCCTTAATGCTGCTGATCTGATCCATTTCTACTTAGGTTTATGGAATTTGGCAATGCCTAAGGGAACAGCTGTTCCTTTTGCTTCGCAGGCGGTAGAACTCTGACCTTCTCTACCTGGAGCCCAGTTATATCACAGCAACACTTACTCATCTTCAGGGGATACTATACTACCATTTATGTCTACTCTAGCAGTCAAGAGGTGGAATTCTTGTGGTTTCAAGTTCTCAAGGTGTCCAGCAGATATACCTTTCAACACCAGCCATCATCCACACACCTTTAAGAAAGTGCAGAAAAACTACTAGTATTTACTAGGTCCCAAAGAAAAGAGGGGTTTCCTCCATCTACCACATTGTTTTTTCCTTCTGTCATGAACTCCTACATTTAAAACAACTGAAATTCTGCTAATTCTAATAAATATGCTAATATTTTAACTAAAATTAAAGATAAAGTTAGAACACATTTTGTAGGAGGTAGAGGACTAGAAAATATTTAATCTCGTAGTAAGGGAAATTCACTGGCTCTTTTCTGATGGATAATAACAAGAGGAAATTTAGGATGACCAATGGAACTGGCAGCAAAAGTTGGCAGAGGAGGAACCTGCAAAGAACCAAAAGTGAGGGGCCAAGCAAGTACTCACTAATCACTATGGTTGCACATACATTGTAGAATTAATTAAGTTTAATGCCACTTTAACAGTCATGGCTCAATACCATGGAATCATGTGAGTTGTAGTTTTATAAGGCATTTAAAAGGTAAAGGTTTCCCCTTGACATGAAGTATAGTCATGTCTAACTGGGGAGTGGTACTCATCTCCATTTCTAAGCCAATAAGCTGGTGTTGTCTATAGACACCTCCAAGGCCATGTGGCTGGCATGACTGCATGGAGCGCTGTTGCCTTCCCACAGAAGCAGTACCTATTGATCTACTCACATTGGCATGTTTTTGAAGTGCTAGGTTGGCAGAAGTTGGTCCTAACAGCGGGAGCTCACCACGCTCCCTGGATTCGAATGGCCAACCTTTTGGTCAGCAAGTTCAACACCTCAGAGGTTGAACCTGCTGCACCACCAGTGGCTCCTTTGCCTTTGGAAAAAAAATGCTGGTGTCTCACCAAACTATATATCCCAGAATTCCATGGGATGGAGTCACGGTACTTAAAGTGGTGTCAAATTGCATAAATTCTACAGTACAAATGCAGCCTATGTCTCAGGCATGTGTCAAGTTATATAGAACTTAGGATTTTCACTTTTTTGGACTACCAACTCCCAGAATTCCCTAATCAGCATGGCCAGGTGCTATTTCTGGAAGCTATCATCCAAACAACAGTGTTGTCTACAGATGAATCAATTCCCTGTGTAACAAAAAAAAAGTCCAAAATCTGGAACTCCCGCTGCTTTTGAATCGACCATTTTGCTATCTCTTCAAAAGACATTCATTCTGTGGAAATTCCCAGAGATGAATCATTTTTCTCTCTGGGCCTGATATCAAAGAATCATCTGCTACTTTCTGCAGGTTGCACCACAGTTAAAGAAACAGGATGAGAGTGGATTGTTTGTGTTTGTTGGTAGGCAAACCCAGGGAAATACATATAGTGTGTGTTCCAAGCAAAACAAATGTAGCTACAAAAAGATGGGCTTGAGATTTCTTTGCCAAGAGAATAAAGGAAAGTCAGCAAGAAAAAAAGAAGAACACACACTGGGTGGTTTTGTTTTCTCATCTTTGATGCACAAGGAAGAGGAAGAAAAAGGCACTAGGGGAATGGTTGTACTGGGAATGTGGGAGATGCCCTGGTTCCATGTGGACATGTTCAAAGAATAAAAACTGTGGATGGAAATTCTGTAATCATACCCTTCTTGCACCAGTTGTGTGTATCTGGGCCACCTGGCTGGATGGGCTGGACATGCCATTGGCCACAAGCCTTTGCACATAGTTTTATGTAGGTATGTGTTTGCTTTCAAGTTGACTGTCATGGTGACCCTATTAATTTCATAGGGTTTTCTTAGGCAACGAATACTCAGAGGAAACATGCTACATTCCTTTGAAATGTAGCATGTTTCACCTGGTATTCACTGGCAGTCTCCCATCCAAGTACTAACCAGGAATGGCTCTGCATAGCTTCCAAGATCAGAATGTGATTTAGTGCCCTTAGGGTATGTAGATCCTGGACTCCTTTATACAGCTTCACAATCTGCTTACTGCAGATGCAAATGGTAGCAAGGAAATCAGAAGACATTTACTTCTTGGGAGGAGAGCAATGACTGATCTACATAAAATAGTGAAGAGTTAAGACATTACACTGGCAATGAAGATCTGCATAGTTAAAGCCATAGTATTCCCCATAGGAACCTATGAATGTGAGAGCTGGACCATAGGGAAGACTGAGTGAAGGAAGATAGACGCTTTTGAACTGTGGTGTTGGAGGAAAATTCTGAGAGTGCCTTGGATTGCAGGAAGATCAAAACAATCGATAGGAAGTAATGCCTGGCTGCTCACTGTAGGGAAGGATATTAGACACAGAGATGAAGTACTTTGGCCACATCATGAGAAGACAGGAAAACTTGGAGAAGAGAATGATGCTGGGGAAAATGGAAGGAAGAGGGGCCGACCAAGGGCAAGATGGATGGATGGTATCTTTGAAGTGACTGGCTTGACCTTAAAGGTGGTCACGGCTGACAGGGAGCTCTGGTGTGGGCTGGTCCATGAGATCACGAAGAGTCGGAAGCGACTGAATGAATAAACAACAACACAATTTGCTTATATCTCTGATTTCTTTATCCACTCAAAGGATGAATTAATAGTTGAATTTTCAGAATTAGCATAACCCACAGCATGATTAGAGATAAAATGTTTCACCTTTGTGTTGTTTTTCCTTGTTTGTAAATTGTGAAGCCCTTGTGGGCTTGGAGATAATAGAGATATCTGATCAATAGATGATAGGAAGGTAGATAGACAGACAGACAGCAATTAATTCCCTCTGCCAGAGTTTAGAAACATTACTGTCATATTACAAAATGCTGGCTGGGGGGAATTCATGGAGTTGTAAACTCCCCGGTAAACTGAAGTCATAAATCACCCTTCCTGACAGCCTCCAGGTATTTTGGACTACAATTCCAATCATCCACAGAAAGTATGGCCATTATACTGTAATAGTGGTACTGTGTTTGGGCTTGTAAAATGCTAGAAAGGCCACTTACACCACTCAAAAAAAGAAAAAGAAAAAGAAAAAAAGAGCAGAATTCTGCATAGACTTTATATTAGTTTAATTAAGGTGTATAAGGTAAAGGTTTCCCCTTGACATTAAGTCTAGTCATGTCCGACTCTGGGGGTGGTGCTCATCTCCATTTCTAAGCCAAAGAGCTGGCGTTGTCCATATCACCTCCAAGTTCATGTGGCCAACATGACTGCATGGAGCACCGTTACCTTTCCGCCAGAGCAGCGCCTATTGCTCTATTCACATTTGCATGTTTTGAAACTGCTGGGTTGACAGAAGCTGTGGCTAACAGCAGGAGCTCACCCTGCTCCCCGGATTCAAATCACCAACCTTTCAATCAGCAAGTTCAGCAGCTTAGCGGTTTAACCCACTGCATCACCAGGTCTATACTCCAATTAAAAAGTTGGACTACAATTTAGCTAGAAACATGAGACAAATCACATGAGGGAAAGAAGACTTTGGTTAGGCAACCCAGATTTCTCCAGATGCAGCTTCAAAGTCTGTTCTACTCTTCATTCTTAGCCTTATTTTCAAACTGGTCTTGGATTGGACTAGTCTAGTAGCGCAAGACAGATGATCACTCCAGGACAGTGCTACTGAAGCAATGGTCACTGGACCAGCGAGCCATTATCTTTCTTTCCTGGTGAAATTCGGGTAAAGAAAGAAACATTTTTAGCCACTGAGTACAAATCTGGTCCTGGTCCCTGGCACATTGGAAAATACTAAATGACAATCCTTTAGATTAGATAACCTGGGAAACACTATGCTCGGATATGCTGCAACATCTTGCTGGTGGTCCTCAATAACTGTGATGGTTATGTTTATACTGATGTAACATTTTCTTAAAGAAAACACCTTCTTATTCATTTTGGGGATTTGTGGCAGGATATAAATAAATATTATTATTATTATTATTATTATTATTATTATTATTATTATTATTATAGGACCTCGGTGGTGCAGCAGGTTAAACCATTGAGCTGCTGGACTTGCTGACCAAAAGGTTGGTGGTTCAAATCCAGGGATCGGGATGAGCTCCCGCTGTTAGCCCCAGCCCAACCTAGCAGTTCGAAAACATGCAAATGTGAGATTAATAGGTATTGCTTCTGCAGGAAGGTAATGGCATTCCATGCAGTCATGCCGACCACATGACCTTAGAGGCATCTATGGACAATGCTGGCTCTTCGGATTAGAAATGGAGATGAGCACCACCCCCCAAAGTTGGACTAGGCTAGACTTAATGTCAGGGGAAAACTTTATGTTTATTATTATTCATTTGTTCTATGTTACCTTATCTCAAGATATCCTTTTATTCTGTAAATTGAAAAACTTACCAAATTTGCCTCCCTGTCTCTTACTCTCTCCCCGACTCTGTCTAGATAGATAGATAGACACATGTGATAGATAGAAACTACTCTTTGTGTTTTTCAGGCAGGGCAATGGTAAAAGGCCAAGAGCAAGGTTGAAACAAATGGGAGTTATGAACCAAAAGACACAGGGTTGCTATTGTTGAGAGGCCTTCTAGTTTATGAGGGGTGAGGGGCAGGGTTGCAGCAAGCCGGATATGGACACCACAGAAGGACACACTTTGAAGAGGCAGTGAGAGGATCCAACAGGCAGCACTCTGTTCCTGGGTGAGACAGAAAAACAACAAGTTTGGCTCTTCCTCCCTCTGCCTACTTCTGAGCCTATGTAGGTATTTTGAGGACCAGAATGTGAACTGAGCCCACAGCCCTTCCACAAGGGGATAAAGGCTCTAAAATGGCACATGATCAACTGCATGTGACAGAATGTTAAATGTGTTGGTGCTTGCATACTCTCCAAATGTGCCAATTTGGCAGGGACAGTCCCATTCGATATTTGACCATTCCTCTTTATCAGTCCCTTTTAAATTATCCCAAATTAGCCCTAAACGACTTCGGCCCTGTTTACCTCTCCGAACGTATTCTCCCCTATGAACCATCAAGATTATTAAGAGCGTCTGGAGAGGCCCTGCTCTCGGTCCCACCGGCCTCGCAAGCGCATCTGGTGGGGATGAGGGACAGGGCCTTCTCGGTGGTGGCCCCTCGACTCTGGAACTCTCTCCCACTGGAGATCAGAACCGCCCCGTCTATCCTGACATTTAGGAAACAGGTGAAGACTTGGTTATGGAGACAGGCATTCGACGAGTGAGCCAACACCCTGAGATATGGATGGAGGATGATGAGCAACGATTTTAGTGTGACAACTGACCATTATAGTTATTGATTGTAATTGCTGTTTTAATGTTTTACTGTAATATGTATTATGATGTTTTATTGATTGTATGTGATATTATGGTTGGAAACCGGTCTGAGTCCCTCAAGAGAGGTGAGAAGGCCGGTATACAAAACTTTTAAATAAATAAATAAATTATTAGAGTCATGTGTAATTTGTTCCTACCATTTCTTTTGTGTCTTCTGTTTCTTCGGGAGCACGAAATGGGAAGCCCCCCCCCCCCCCCCCCGCCCAATGCACAAAAGTCTGCTCAACACGAAAGCCTGCTTTTGTCTGGAGCCGAACTTGCCTCCTTGCCTTGGAAAGAGAGTGTGTGTGTTGCGGGGCATGCAGGTAGGCCTGGAGTGCGCTTGCAGCTGAGTGCCTTTTACTCTAGAGTAAGAGGCGCTCAGCTGCAGGCCCTGGCAGGTGCATGCACTTTCCGGGCCTGCCTGCACACCCTGCACACACGAACTCTCCTTCCAGGGAGAGTGCATGCGTGGCATGGCGTGCAGCCAGGCTTGGAAAGAGTGCATACCTACCAGTGCCCACATCTGAGCGCCTCTTACTCTAGAGTAGAAACAGCAGGTGCCAGGTAAGAAAAACGGAAGCCCACACCGGGAAGAGGAGCCAGTGGGTGAGAAGCCCACCCCATAATGGTCTGATTTTTTGGGGCCCCAAACCAAAAAACAACCCTCCCAATTTTTGGAGGCTCCACAACAACAGATTGGGCCCCCTAACGAAAGGTTTACCCTGAAAGCACAACCCTACCAGTTATTCTCTCTCATCTTATCTATTTCTCCTTTGTTCTTAGTTTATTTCGCTTAAAGAAAGCTGGGTCAAATGTACAACATTTTTGTGCACTCAGATAAGCCTGGAAAGGGGAGAGGAAGCGACTGGAATCATCTCCTTCCTAGTAAGCTCGTACAAAAGCAAATTGCTGCAGCCTCTCCTAAGTTATTTGTTGTTCTTCCTTACTAACTTTTGTCATCTTGATCAAACTCTGATCTTACCTGGTTACATGTAATCTGGTTTTAATCTGTGAAATGTTGGAAAGTATGGTGTTTATTGGTGAGAAAAACAGCAGGGAGAGGACTGGAGTGTTTAAACAGCGAAAGAGCAAGACTTGGAGAGACAGTATACTGAAGGCTGAAACTATCTTAGAGTGCTGGGTCAAGATGGCACTAGAAATAGACTAAAGGACATGGATAAACAACAATGACAGCTTACGAATAGGGTTTTTTTTTTAATCGTGTCAGAAGCGACTTGGGATAACTCCACAAGTTGCTTCTGGTGTAAGAGAGTTGGCAGTCTGCAGAGACATTGCCCAGAGGATGCCTGGATGCGTTACCATCCTGTGGGAGGCTTCTCTCATGTCCCCGAATGGGAAGCTGGTACTGACAGAAGGGAGCTCACCCTGTCTCACGGATTTGAACCACCGACCTTCAGGTCAGATAGCACAAGGGTTTAACCCATTGCAACACTGTGGCTCCCACAAATAGTGGTGACACATTGCTTTCTTTTAAAACTGCCCATCATTTAACAGCAGTTGTTTGGTATGTTGTGGAGCAAAATCACATTATACCTGGACTCTTCGGCTTCCAGACTGTCACTTCAACTATGCTCCATTTGTAAATTTTTGTATGATATACCCCAATAAACTATGGTTTGTCCTTCCAAAAGGATCCAAACTTTGGAAACACTATCCCACCAACCTTTCATTCCTCTGCGAACTATGGAAAACATTATAATTTTCAATAATTTATTACTGATAAAAATGGTAGCCTGTGGACCAGTGGTACTCCAGAACCATTGGCTGCTGGCCCACATAAGTTTCCAAGAAATAAAGCTACCAGTCCCTGGCATATTTTATATTTTTCAATGTTAGTCCCCTCACAGACTGCTGCCATAACAAATCCTTCCCCTTCAGCAGCCAAAATAGGCAGGTTACTATTGTAATTATTACCTCTACATCTAGCATCAGATGTTGCCGTGCACTCCTTGATTGTGATCTCATCCTCTTCGCACACCGTGCAAGGAAAACAGGGGTCCACATGGTTAGCCTCATCGGAGTAAGTCCCCAAGGGACATTTCTCACACATGGTGTTCTGATTCTCCCCGCAAGGGTACATGAGGCCGTAGCCCACCTCGCAGATTTGGCACTCTTGGCATTGATTGGTCTTTTTGTCCCGATAGTAGCCGTAGATACATTTGCAGACCGTGTTGTCCGACTCCACGCAAGGCACCAACATGCTCTCCAGGTCAATGCATTCCTTACAGGGCTTGCATGCCTCTGTGGCACTCACTGTGTCAGAATAGCTAATACCTGCAACATATGAGAAGAACAGAAGTCATTCATAGTCCTGCAAAAAGTTAATTGTGCACTGATTTCTATTCATCAATCGCAAAGCCTAGAATGGTGAGCTCTTTATTACTATAATCCCCTATAGAGTGTTGCAATTGTTGAAGTTGTAGTACAAAAGGTAATGAGTTGCTGTGAGTTTTCTGGGCTGAATGACCATGTTCTAGAGGCATTCTCTCCTGATGTTTCACCCACATCTATGACAGGCATCCTCAGAGGTTGTGAGATCTATTGGAAACTAGGCAGGCAAGGTTTATATATCAGTGAAATGTCCAGTGTGAGAGAAAGAACTCTTGTCTGCTTGAGGGAAGTGTGAATGTTGCAACTGGCTACATTGATTACCATTCAATGGCCTTGCAGCTTCAAAGCCTGGCTGCGTGCCGCCTGGGGGATCCTTTGTTGGGAGTGTTAGCTGGCCCTGATTTATTCTTGTCTGGAATTTTCCTGTCTTTTGTGTGTCGCTCTTTATTTACTGTCCTGAATTTAGATCCATTTAATATGTGCAACAACAAATAAAATAAGTCACTGAATGCATTAAAAATCTGTGATCTGGAAAATTCTTATAAAAAACTGAACCAGTCAAAATCCTCAGCTAGTTGAAACAGGAAGTTGCAGGTCAGAAAAAAAAACCTCAGTTAAGTCACAAAACAACCTCTGCCCTCCAGAAATGCTGGACTGCAATTCCAATTGTAGGCCATATATGGAAAGCACCAGGTTGGGGAAGGTTGGCCTAGAACACAAGGAAAACACTTCATATGTGGATATAAAAAGTAAATAGTGCAATCTCCTGTCTGTCTCCGCAGCAATAGGTCCCACTATGTTCAATGGGATTTTCTGCCAGGTGAGTAGAAATAGAAAAAACAGACTCTATTGCACCTATGAGTTTCCAAAAAGGCCTGCCAAGTCTTTGTCTGTAGGGTCCTTTCAGGAAAGCAAAGGCTGCAATATATCCACTCCCTAATTATGTGGTCCTTATTTTTCCCACCCTCATTTCCTCCCCAAATTAAGCAATGCTATGTGACTCCTGAAATGGAAGAGGGAATAGGCCTGTTTAAAGTTTGCATAACGATGCCTGAAGGCAAAATTCACTGGCTATTCATTGCTGTGCAGTTATAATCTGCTCGTAACAATAAAATTGACCTGACTCCTTCACAAAGATCTCATAGGATGAATCACACACCACTGAGTACTATAAAGTGCACTGCAATGCCTAAAGAGGCAATATATTATGATTTAATGGGGAGTTAAACCAGCGGAAGAAGCTATGCGCACAGGCTGACTTCAGGTTAAAACAGTTTACTTCGATTTAGCTTTGGCACCAGTGAGCCTGTCTATGTAGAAAACAGGGCACAGAAGATCTCTTATTTGGTGTGTATTAGAAAGAAGGAGGCTGGGAAAGGAGCCATTCCTAAACCCTTCAGAGTGATATGGAAAACGTCTGTGCTGCATGCTTTTCATGGCACAAACCTGAAACTGAAGCAGGAAGAATTCTCCCTTCTCTTCATGCAGGGTGCCATATATAAAGTACACTTCTTGGAACTTTCTTGAAGACTGCCACTTTGGAGGCTTCGTGTATAGCAGTGGTTTCCAGCCTGTGGTCCATGGACCACCAATGGTTCCTAATAACTAAAACATGGTCCATGGTCTCACTGTTACTACCCCGTTGCAACGAGAGTGACTGGTCTCGCAAAATCCCCTTATAGTGTTGTGGCAACGGGATGTTGGGAGTGGAGGTGCTGACTACCCACGAAAGGCGCAACAACAAGCCTCCTGACTGCTACTTCTCCTCATCCTCCCTCACCCTGAGTGGAGTCATTGCAAGTGGTGCTTGGAAGTGGGGGTTCCTTGGTGTCTTCATTTTTAGGTCTGTTCCAAGGGTTATTTGAGGTGCTGATTCAGAAAATTACACATTAGAAAATTGCACACATAGACCTCATCATAGAATCATAGTTGGAAGAGACCTCATGGGCCATCCAGTCCAACCCCCCACCAAGAAGCAGGAAAATTGCATTCAAACCACCCCTGACAGATGGCCATCCATCCTCTGTATAAAAGCTTCCAAAGAAAGAGCCTCCACCACATTCCACTGCTGAATGGCTCTCAAAGTTAGGAAGATCAGGTGGCATCTCCCTTCTTGTAGTTTGAAGCCATTATTCTGTGTCCTAGTCTTCAGGGCAACAGAAAACATGCTTCCTAATATTCAGGTGGAATCTCCTTTCAACAATAGATTATTAAGTACGGTTTTCTGTGGGCAAGCAGATGGTGACTACTGGATCGCATAGGTTCTGTATCTCAAACTAGAGCTGATGTGGTCTATCCAATACAGTTTTCTGAATCAATACCCCAAATAACCAAACTGAATGTAAGGTTGACCAAAAACAGATTCATAACCCTTTTGGTACTAATGTTGGAGAGTCGTCCCTGGTTAAAGTGGTCCCTGGTCAAAAAATGGTTAGGAACCACTGGTGTGTAGGTTCCTCCAGGACTTTGAGAATTTATTTGTTAAAAAACTAATTACAGTTGTTGGCCAGAATCCTCTATCACGGTTTTGATTATTTGCAGACTTGTACTTCCATGCATGACTCCCAAATTTGGGCTGCTGTGTAAGCCCTGTCCTCAGGAAGTGAGGTTGGCCCATCTTTGGGAGGTTCCCATGACATGGGCACTGATGACTTCTCCCTCTCTTTCACTTCCTGAGGAGAGGGCATCTGACTGTTCACAGGTGAACCCCATTTTTGGGAGCTGAGGGAGGTTAACTCTCACCCCTACCATTCTTCTCATGATGGGGCTATTACTGGAATGTTCACAGGGTTTTGGGAAAAAGGTTTGGTCACTGCTCTACCTTTGGTTCGCCAGGTGTTCTGGACTTCAGCTCCCACAATTCCTAACAGCTGGTAAGCTGGCTGGGATTTCTGGGACTTGAAGTCCAAAACAACTGGAGGACTAAAGGTTGGGAACCAGTGATAGTGACATGTTTGCATTCGCTGGATTTCATATTGTTTTATTTATTTTTGTGAGACATGCTGAGTACTGTCACAGATCTCGGAACACTCACATTTTGGGGGCTGCAACGCCTAGAACCACCGAGTTAGCACCCCCATTTTCTATGCTATGTGAGGAATTTCTGGAATTGTAGTTTCAAAAAGCCGCACAACTTCCAAATTCTGCACTATAAACACTGTAAGGAAACAAACACACACACACACACACACATATTGATATGGCCATCACACATTTCTGCTATCACTGCTTCACAATAGACCAGGATGAGGGGGAAGCCATATTTGGGGAAGCATTCAGTTCATCTGTTTTCCATCCATTAGCGATGGGAAAGGATGATGGTGATGATGTCCAATATAAATACTCAACAGTGATGCCAAAATTCTGACTTTCTGTTGACCCTCCTCTTCATTCCTGCTTCCTTGGTTTCAACTAATCTCTGTAGGGAATTAAATCCTGAATACAAATTGGTCTTCCTGTTCCCTATCTCAAACCAGTCTCTACCTTGGGATCCTCTTTGTTTTCATTTCCCAGAAATATTGAATGGAGAAGTGTTCCTCGCTCCCCAGACTGTTGCAGGAATACAATTGCTATTTTCGTTAAATAAAAACTAGTAGTCCTTGGGCATTTTTGCTGTCAGGAACATTAATATCCATTGATATCGAGTCATTAAAGAGAAGTAATTAAAGCAGATGATTCATCCTCAGGAGTCCTTTCTGTACAGTGGAACAGCTGTGGTTCCTTCACTGTCAGAAATCTGATGGCGAGCATAAAAAAGACATTTAGAGATGGATCCTTTAATTCTGTTAAAACTTTTCACAGCTGAGCTGCTGAACTTGCCGAATGAAAGTTTAGTGGTTTGAATCCAGAGAGTGGGGTGAGCTCCTGCTATTAGCCCCAGGTTCTGCCAACCTAGCAGTTTAAATGTGAGTAGAACAATAGGTACCGCTTCTGCGGGAAGGTAACGGCACTCTATACAGTCATGTTGGCCACATGACCTTGGAGGTGTCTACAGACAACGCTGGCTCTTTGGCTTAGAAATGGAGATAAGCGCCACTCCCCAGAGTCCGACATGACTAGACTTCATGTCAGGGGAAACCTTTACCTTTACTATATCCCTTCAATCAATTGGATTTGCATATATTTTCACTCGCCACCTACCTATTGATGAAGTGAACTAATTTAGGTGGGACCATCAATTCTTCTTAGACTCATGAAGATGAGGTGCAATAAAAAATGAAATATTATGGCAAATATATGTTTTTTTATGTTTTTTTATGTTCTTACCTCGTGCCTTCCATAGTAACAAGTGGACACCCATACCATCAAGGAAAAAAAATAATTATGAAAATAGCTGCATTTCTTCAGTAGCCAAAAGTCACAGAATCATAGAGTTGGAAGAGCCATTGTGGGCCATCCAATCCAACCTCCTGCCAAGAAGCAGGAAATTTGCATTCAAAGAACCCTGACAGATGGCCATCCAGCCTCTGCTTAAAAGCCTCCAAAGAAGGAGCCTCCACCATTCTCCGGGGCAGAGAGTTCCACTTCTGAACAACTCTCACAGTCAGGAAGTTCTTCCTAACATTTGGAAAGTGTCACCCGATCCTTTCCTCTAGAACGGCAACTTTTCTGCATCCATGCCACACAAAAAGTTTCATTTGTGCATATTCAGTGCGCTTCCACACATTCATGCATAAGCAAGCATTCTCCCACAAATAGAGCTCTGGGAAAGGCGCAGAGAAGCCTCGTCTATTACTAAGCAATTTCCAGTAACAAATATATAAGAGGTTTCACACTGGTTTTTTTGCCAAGTCAAGCTTTCCTCTTTCCTTCCTTTTTTCCTTCCTTCATTTCCTGGTTTCCCCTCCTGCATCAGGTGAGGACTTGAACCTTTCTCTGGGGGGGCTGGTGATATTAACTCTAATCTGCCATTGATTTCCTCCACCCGCTTTCAGAGCCGCCCA